CAGAATAGTATATGATTGAAAAACTGCATTTAAAATTAGTCCGATTTATTATAGTACATCCATTAGTAATATGAATGAAGTTTATCAAATGAAAAATTTCGTTTTCATTCTTTTTAATCATTTTATTTCTAATAGAAAACACATAGTTCAACATAATATCATCATATGTTCTGAATAAAATCTCAACATAAATAAATCTAAAAGAAACGTAAATTAACATTGAATTTTTTCTAATTCTACTCGATATGATTCCATTTGAAGAAATAATGGATCATCAGGTGATGAAATAAAAGATTTCATTTCTTGTATAGCATCGATTAATTCTGAATATGTATAACGATTACATATTCCATTGGATAATTGTACTTCACAAGCACATTTACGAAGTTGAATTAATACTCGTTCAGGTTCATTAATTGGCAATGTTAAACGAGACCGTTCGACACCTAAAATTTGTTGTTTTTTTTTCTAGATAATAAATATTGACAAAAAAAAAAAAAAATTTTTACTAATATACCTTCAGTATATGAACGTAAAGCTGATTGAAGAATAATTTGTTTCGTAGCTGGTCTTGCAATAGAAGAATTAAAAAAAAGAAAATCAGCACGTTGTCTTAATGTCATAACAATATCTAAATCTTTATTTGATTTTGATGCAAGAAAATAATTATCAATTAATTGTATTATATCATTACATAAATAATCAATTTCATTTTCAATTATTTCTAAATAATCAAAATCAATTTTTTTATTTAATTCAATTGATGTTAATTTCCAATAAGATTTAAAATTATAATCAAGTATAAGTTTATTATATGCTGTATAAAGCATTTGACGATCAATTGGTGGAATATCACCATAATTTTTGAGATAATTTTTATAGATTAATATTACTTCATTATAACGTTTAGCACATGTAGCAAGACCAGCTTGTTCACGTAATTCAATTAAATTATCAACCATCTTAAATAGAAAAAAAAATCTATTTTCTGAATTTAATTGTACATAAAATATTCAAGAGCAATTATCAATCTCCAGTTTTTATATATAGTATTGAACAAAAGTCTTCCTGCCGTATCTTGACTACTATACATACTGGCGGCCTGAAAATTTGTATGCACATACTGCATTAAGAATTAGGGTCAGAAGCACGAAGTCGCCTCCCGATTGTTTAAATACAACGAGAATTATGATGAAGGATGCCTATCTTTGACTTCAAACTTTTAGCCTGAAAAAAGATTGTCTACTGAATTTTTCGTTACTTGTTATTAAGTACATGACTAATACTTGATATTTTAGCATGCAAGTAGAGTCCAGTCTATGTTCTTATTTTAGTTAAAAGATCAGGTTATTTAATCGAAGATGATTGTCCATACATGCATCTGAGTCCTGTGTATTCGAATGGTATTTTCATTTAGTGGAAGATTCTTTCATGAAACTTGCAGGTAATAATGCTCAATTACAGACAAAGCTTATGTACAAGTTTCAGTTCGAGGGGGATGAGGGACTTCTATCCACTGCTGTAGAAGTGCATCAATCAATGCTACAGTTAATTGATGATACAATGAGAGATAATTGATAGTTTTCAGCACGTATATTCAAAGTGATCTTTTAGAAAACGTTTATATCAAATTTTGAGTTTAAAAATCAAATTGTTGAATTTTATAAAAACCGACTTCTTGGATGAGTTCATTATCAAGATATCAGTATGTTTTCGAAGAGGTCTAGCGTGTATCTTGATAAAAAGGTTTTATTCATGTTCAATTAGTAGTTGATATCTGTCTTCATTTTTAAAGTAATATCAAATGATTAGATCAACATGAAGGAAATCTTCTGTTTTTAAATGATACTTTGTTACAAATGATATTTTTTCAAATTTCGAATAAGTAACTTTGTATGGGTATAAAAGAGAAACATCAGCATAGTCAAAATTTTCTATGTTAATCCAACTCATATATATAACAGTTCATAATGCAATCCTCCAGAAATGTTCAATGTTTTTACAAATCGGAAAGATTTTATTTTTCAAAGCATTATTTTCCAATTGTCTATTGAAAACTACTCATTATTTAATCGTTTAGATCTTTTGAATAGATTGATACATCATAGTATCCTATTTAGAATACTGATAACTGCTTTCATTCTTGAGCTATGTACTAAGCAATCAAAAATATTCGATTTTTTTTAATGAATAGTAATAAATGAAGGAGTATGTTTCCCAAAACATCGAAGAATATTTCATTAATAAATTGGACATTTAGCAATTGAATTGATTTATCATCTAGTAAATTTTTCTTTCTGACAATTCTTTATTTGATTCATCTAAAAATTAAAAAAAAAAGACACATAAACGAAACAAAAGATAAAATAGATCTCGACTGTTCGTTATTTATTTTTATTATTATTGTTATTATTTAAATAAATTTAGTAGCACCAGGTAAAAAAGAAAGAAAAAATCTAAAATAGAAAATAAAGAAATCATTTTTAATTATATAAAATATCATATTATTGTTAATCTTACTTTGTTTTATCATTGTCGTTTTCGAACGGAGATGTTCGATTATAATTGTTGTATTATCATCCGGACATTTTTTATTATTATTAATAAGATGATCAGGTAAAATAAGTAATTCACGTTTTGCTGCATTAAATATTGGAAATGGTCCTTCATGACAAACTTCACCTGTTTTATCATCAAGATCTAATGACCAAATAATCACACCACCATAACCATGTTCTTTTAAGAATTGCATCTAGTTGTTTATTTTTTAAAAGAAAATTCATTCATAGTGATTAATAAATTTATTTATTTTTACTTTAAGTGTAACACTTCGAATATTATCAAAACCAATCCATAAGGATTTACTTGATACATATGGAACACTCATTTGTCGATGCCAAAATACACGATTATTTGGATTATTTTGAATTAATTCACAAATCTATTTATTTAAAAATTAATATATGTTCATTTTATAAAAATAAGTGCAAAAAATTTACTTCATAATAAGCAAGAACACCTGCTTCTCGTGTATATCTTCCGGCTTCAGCAGCACTTGCTTTTACTCCAATTGATGATTTTTTCTTTGTTTGTGGTTTACCATTACTCATACCTGTCTCTCCATATAATGAAAAAGCTCGTCCTAAATGAATTATTCATCGTACGAAATATATAAATGTAGAAGAAAAAAAAGATAAACCATAAGCTGAAAGACCAATATTAAGTTTTTCTTTTGGACAACCTTGTTCAACCCATACATGCATAGAACTATTTATATTCCATTCACGAAATTTTTTTCGTTCATTACGCATTCCATATAATGGACTATTATGTCCAGTTTTACCATCCCAACTACCATGATAATCATCTATATTAGCACAAAAAAAAAAAGATAATTTTCTTTTCCGAAACAAAAAAAAAGACTTTTTAATTCGATTACTCACAAGTCATAACTGATACAAAATCAAAATATCTTAAAATGAAAAAAGAAAATTATTAAACATTAGAAAATATCAAACGATATTCTTACTTGCAAACTTCTTCTACTTCATAACCAGCTTCGATTCGATGTCGTGCAGCAGCTATAATAATATCAATTATAGATTTTATTCCTTTTTTTTTTTGTTTAAGAATTAAAGTACCTGTAGCACATGTCAATAATAATTTTTCTTGTCCTGTACGTTCAGCTTCTCGTTTGAATACTCGACTTAATTTCTATTTTAAATAAACATTTTCTTATAAATTTTCTATGAAAAATTTTCCTATTTACTTTCACCAATTTCGTATATCCAGTTTTAGAATGAGGTTCAGCACCTTGATCTTTTGCTCCAGGATATTCCTATTCGAATAGAACTCTTTTTGTTTTTTAATTAAATCAATTAATAATACATATTCATTTACCCAATCTAAATCTAATCCATCAAATTTATTATCACGTAAAAATTTCACACTATTCTTGACAAAAGTTTTACTGTATTAAATAAATAAACAAATTCTATAAATTCTTTCTTTATCTATGTAGAAAAAAGCATAACACTTACATATTTGCAGCATTTTTTGATACTTCATTGAAACCACGAGATGCATGTGTCCATCCTCCAACACTCAGAAGTACACGTAAATCAGGATTGATTTCTTTTAATTTTAATACACGTTCATACATGCCTTTAGAATTTGCTGTCCATCCTTTTAAATCATCTTCTTCATATGGTGCTAGTATTAAGCTTTCAAGTACTTTAGCAAAAGCAAAATTAATATGTGTACATAAAAATGGATCTATATCTTCGGGAGTTAAACGACTGATATTATCATATCGTTTAGCTGCCCAATTAGCAAAATAACAACTAATTTTAAAATAATATAATTATATCTAATCAATGAAATAAATAGTTTTGTTTTTTAAAATCTACTTACACACGTCGATAGACAAATGTCGATTCACTTGATGTATCATTTTGACAATCAGCTCGAACTAAAAAAAAAAACCTAAAAATTTTCCAATAAATATTGTTTTATTTTTCAATACCTTGTCTAACTGTTAACCAAATAATCATCATAAGAGAAGTCAAAATATTTGTCGTCATTGTACATGAATGAATAATAACAACTAAGTCTTTGCTTGTTAATGCTTATCGTTCGTTTGTTTGAAGTTAAATGAAACCCGGTCTAATCTCTTTCTTTCTCGCTTTGTTTATATACAATACGAGTGTGATGTTTGCAAACAAACGATTCATATGATCTAAATTGACAAAAGAGAAAATAGATCGAAAATGTTTCAATATTTGAATTTATTTATTTTATCTTTTCATCAACGATGTGTAACACCAAAAAATAAATCAATGGCATGATATCACTTGTCCAATACCGGAAAATCTTGGTACACATACATGTACAAAGATCTAAGTGGTACCATTTTAATACATTATATCTTTTTGTGATCTAATCAAATGATCCGGAAAGATCAATTGACTATGTTTTCCATTAAACTGATAATCACAACGATGACAATTCAACGGTATTTTTTTTTGTGTCAAAATATTGTTATTCCACTGAAATTTGCTAATGATTTTATTTGTGCTTATTTATGTTTTTGACATTAGATATTCAAATATTTCAAAGTTGAAGAGTACATTTGTGAAGCAGTATAAAAAAGCAAGTGAACTCGCCTCTTAGTTGAGAGCAACGAACTCTTCTTCAGTAAACATCGGTTTTTAAAACAAAAATTGTAGTCCAATTGATTTTCAATTGTCTATTGCTGCACGTGCCTCAAAATAATTTAACTTGTAAACGGCCTATGACTTAAAAATTCCTGAATACGCCACTAAATTAAACAAGCTAAAATCTACATTCATAAACAAATAATTTAATACGAAGTGATTCGACAAGGATCATATACTTTACATCAATAAAAGTTGATGAAAAAAGAACTGAAATGAGTCAGATTATCAATACTGGTAACAACGATATTTGGCTTATTTGATGAAAACAATTGAGCAATATATTGTCATTCTAAGTATATCTTATATCACGAAGTAATATATATTCATTTCAACGTATTCAAAATATGTTTTAAAACTTAATTTCAACGTTTTATAATTTAATTAAATCTTCTAGTAAAGATAAAACTATAGTCTTTTTATCTGAATGAACTGTGTAATAGCAGAGAAAATAACAGAATTGGCGAATATTTCGAATGTTGCACACACAATAATGTAATTGACGCTATTTCCATCGAAACAAGCGTTTGCTAATGCAGTTTTCATGCAATCTAATACCACTAATTCAATTAGAAACGTAATAGCTGTTCATTTGAGTCCAAATAAAAATTGTGTTACTTTACCCAAAATCTTGGTGCCTGGTTTATCGTACATTTATGTAGAATTGATATGATAAAAGTTGTTCCAACACTTTTCTAAAAAGAACCATTTGATCATAGACTAAATCAAAAACTAAATAAGGTTGACATAACCTTCTCCTTTAAAACTACTTACTCAATAGAATAGAAAAGAGATTGATCAGAGAATCATTTTTAAGAAAAGATACGTACGTTAAAAACTCGGTATTAAAACTGAATCAATAGCAATTTTGATTGAATTTCTTCTTATACAGCTATCAAAACAAAATCATTATCAGAGAACGATGATATTACATTAGATATAAAATGTATCCATTGTCAATGTCTTCAAACAGATCCAACAAAGTGTCTTCGATGAAACACTACGTCAAAATTTAATAATGAAATAATATCGGGACTAATCATTACATAAGCTTAAGATTTATTTATATATGGGGGTGAACAGTCAGTGGGACACCTCGATTTGTTTTCTTTCTATTATCATCTAAAAATCTAATCATGTTCGGGTCAAATTATCACCCTCATCGCCATACAACTAAATTTAGAATATTAGCTTCTGATTGCTGTCATATATGAAATTTTTCATCCCCAGAAAAAAACTATAGGACACGATTTCGGGAACTGAATAATTTCATATACGATAACTATCAGGAGCTAATATATTAAATTTAGTTGTGTGGTGATGAGGGTGATAATTTGATCCGAAAATGATTATATGTTTAACTGATAATAGAAAGAAAGCAAATTGGGGTATCCCACTGACTGTTAACGCCTATATATATATAAAACGTCAAGGAAGCAACAATATTTTTTCTGATCCTATGAAATGCAAATGTACAATATATTCTGTCTTGGAAAAAAAATCTATCAAATCTTAAAAAAAATTTGATTAGATCAAATATTCTTCTCGCATTGTATCAAATTATGACACAAATCTATAATCACATTTCATTTCTACTTTTATTTTATTGTTATTTCTGTTATTACAATTTGAAAATTTTGATTTATCAAATTATATATTACAATATAACTTTTCATACTTTCTTTACTTTTTTAGTATTTATCGATCAATTATCATTCGATTTGATTTAATCCTCATTAGCAAGTACAATACAATCAATTGCGATTTCGATAGATTCCACTAAGAGATAAGTTTCATTAAATCAAATGAAGAAAAGGAACGATCTGAACGAACAAATGGAATTTGTTCATGAGCCTTTACGCACTCAAAATCATTACCAACGCCATCTGTGCATTATTGATAAATTTTTTTAAAATAGAATCTATTAATTGAATCAGATTATTGAATATTTGTTAAATAACAATTATTTCATAGTCACACATTTTTGACAAGAAAACAAATGACTCATATTTCCTACTATTTGTACAACAACAACATGAAGTGTCTTTCAAAGCAAAAAGTAGTGGTAATAATAATTAATCAAGCAAACTGTTCTATTTCTTTTTTGTTATTTTTGCAGAGTAGTTACATCATTAATTGAAGATATGGTTGAAGAAGAAATTATAAAAATTAATCGAAAATTACAAAAAATGATCGATAAATCTGACGTGGTTTGTTTGAATTTTTTTGGAATAAATCTATTTTTCTTTTATTTATTTAAAATATATTAGGATGAAAGTATTGCTCGAGATTTACTTGTTCGTTTACAAGCATCACGTATAACACTTAGTACTCTGCATAAAACGGGTATTGGAAAGACCGTAAATAATTTACGACGACTAATTACTAATGAAGATTTATCAACTGTTGCTAAAAGTCTTCTAAAAAATTGGAAAAAACTTGTACCCGGTTAGTTTCTTATTTTCTTAATAAATATAAATATATATATATATTTTATTGTTGTTAATCCTAATTAGAAACTTCATCAGTATCAGCAAATAAAGATGATAGACAATCAACATCAAACAGTAGTAATAATAGCCAAAATTCACAAGAAACAAATGTAACTAATGGAAAAAATAGTGATTCTGATAAACCTACAAAACAACAATCATTTATAAAATCTTCAACATCGAATAGTTATACAGCATTACACACTCAAGACGAATTTCGGTCAGAAAGTCAAATAATTCATAAATATTAAAATAAGATTTTTGTTTTTTAAATTTCAGATTAAAATCACGTGATCTTTTAGCCGCTGCTCTTTCAATTTCTGAACTTCCTGAAGGATCTGATGATCCAGTAGAATTATCTGCTCGTATTGAAGATGGTAAAAAATAAAAATATTTTTATTATAAATAAAATCTCTCGATGCGTTTTTTTTTTTGTTTAGCTATCTATAAAGAACTTAAAGATACAGGTGTTAAATATCGTAATCGTGTTCGTAGTCGTATTTCAAATTTAAAAGATGTAAAAAATCCAAATCTTCGTATAAATGTTCTTCTCGGTATAATTACACCCGAACGATTCGCTGTACTTACAGCTGAAGTTTGTTTATCTTTTACTTTTCTTAAATTAAAACAAAAAAAAAAATTTTTAACAAACATCTTTCTAAAATAGGAAATGGCAAGTGATGCATTAAAACAAGAACGATCAAAATTAACAGATATGGCTATTAATGAATGTCAACTTGCTGTTGATGAAGGCACTGGTACTGATCTTATTCAATGCAAAAAGTAAAATTGATTGATTTTTTAAATAAAATTCAAAAGAATATTTTGAAATATTTTTTTCAGATGTAAACAAAATAATTGTGCGTATACAGAAGTTCAAACACGTAGTGCTGATGAACCCATGACTTTATTTATTCTTTGTAAAAGTTGTGGATATCGTTGGAAGGTAAAAAGAAAAATGAAAAAAGATAATTTAATTAAAATATTTATTTTTCTTTATTCGTTTCAGATGTAGACCAACATAAACTTATCTACTTATCTTACATTCATTTTTTCCCGCCGTCGCGTCTTTTTTTTTTGTAATTAATAGAATTTTTCTGCTTAAATGCATTGCAGTCATTATCATCAAATTAAAACGTTGTTTTCTTTTTTTTTTTTTGTTTTTTTAGATTTTCTCTTTTCTCATTTTATTCATGGCTGGTGGAGCGAATAATAAATCAGCTGCTCAGTTAATGACTGAAGCAAATAAGAAAGCTAAATCAGCTGGTGGACTATTTCAACGTATGCTTGGATCAGGTAATGTAATGAATGAAGATGCTCGTGTACTTTATATTCAAGCTGGTAATGCCGGACGAGCCGAAGGTGATTATCCAACATCTGTTGAAGCTTATAAACGAGCATTAGATTTAAGTACTGAAGATTTTGAAAAAGCTCAAATGTATGAAGCAATATCATCATCATATCGAATGTTTGATTTACCTCAAGCTATACCACCATTAACACGTGCAGCTGAATTATATATGACTCAAGGTAAATGGACAATGGCATCACAAATATTTGAAAAAATTGCTGAATTATATGAACAAATGAATGATTATGAAAATATGATGAAATGTTTAAAAGAAGCATATCGATTTTTAAAACAAGAAGGACAAAAAGCAGGTACAAATAGAGTACAAAAGAAAATGGCCGAAATACATGTACTTCAACATCAATTTATTGAAGCACAACAACAATTTGAAGAACTGGCTGAGAAAGCAAAAGATGATGCTTTAGTTAAATTTAGTGCTAAAGATTATTGGTTAAGGTAATTAATTAAAATTTTTAGTTTTGACTTTTTTTTTAAAATTTATTATAGAGCAACAATGTGTGCATTATGTATTGATGTTGAAAATGCTAATACGGCATTGAATCGATATATAAATGATAATCCATTATTTGAAGAACGATCAATTGAAGTAAAATTACTTCGTCAATTAATTACTGATGTTGAAGAACAAAATAAGGAATCATTTTTAAAACATTTTGATGATACATCATTATCACCATTACGTTCTGATCGAATAGTTCGCTCATTGATTGATGATATTGCGAAAAAGATCAATGGTGATGTTGATCTTAAATAAATTAATTGTAATATTTTGAACAGTAAGTATCTATATAATTTTTTTTGCTAAGTAGATTTCGTGTATGTCTGTGCAATAAAAGCTTAAAATATGAGATATTTATCATAGTCATTTATTTACTTTATTTTTTGTCTTTTTTCGTGTTTTTTTTAAATGTATAAAGGAAAATCTCCAGATTGGAGAGTCATTCCATACTTTTCGAGAATCTCATCTTTTTTTCTCGTTGTCTTGTTTGTGATTGTGTGTATTGATATTTCAAATAATCTTCATTTATTTTCCTAATGAATAAAATGGCTAATACGAAGAAAAACAAAAAAACAAACATTAAAATGAATCATTATCAAAATGTGAAATAAATTTTCTTCGTTTAAATCACATACATATCAGAAGGGGAAAAAGCAACAGACCAACTCGAAGATTACAGCAAGAATTTCATTCACAATTAATTTATTTTTAATAGAATTTTAGCAAAACTAAATAGATAAAAATAATACCTTCTAGTAAATTATATAATAAATATAAATTCAATATTCGTTGAGATTTATTTGTAATAAAATGATATTTTTATAAAATGAAAGAGCTGCCAATAAGACAAACAATATCCTTGATAAAGATCGGCAAATAGTATTTGTGTTAGTAACAAGTGTATTTCATACGTATAGTTATATATATCTGAAACAAACTCATCATTCAACGGAATAAGAAACAATCTTGGAAACTTTTCAAAAACTTTGAAAGTCATACAACTTCCTTTGGCATCATTACTATAGATATTCTAGTATTCGTTTTCTGCTTTATTTATCGCGTTGGATTAAATATTGACATTTCAAAATCGATGATAAATTGAGGTTGAATATGTCGTCCTTCGATATTTTCTTTTTATCACACTTGGTTGCTAATGAACATTAAATTTGACAAAGAGAAAGATGAACACCTTTCATTCCTACTAACTGTCATTGACATATCGATGTCTTGTGATCTATCATTCATCCCTATAAGAGATGTACAGGACCAAGATTTTTTTGTCCTGGTCGTGTTGAATTTTTTCCACTGGTTTCAGTAGTTTCTTTCCTAGTAGTCATGCATCCGGTGGTTTTAGTTTTTTCAATGCCGATTCAGGTGTAGAGAAAACTATTCTAGAATCTATTCGTATCACATCCTAAAAAAGTTCTTCTATACTCATTTTTTTATTTGTTTAGACGAAAACTAGGACATTTTTGAGTTATCTCTCTTCAATTATATTCTAACCGATGATCTATAAGATCATTCGCTTAAAACCATAGAACATTGAACTATAATCTTTAGTTTCGGTTGGCACAAGTTTGTTCTCCTGGTTCCGATCTCGCATATTGCTAGTCATGAAACATCAGTTTTTTACCAATTGATAAGAATTTTGTTACTCTTGTGAACTCTATACAATTTATTTTGGTCATATATTTATATTTAAAACAGTGCAAGAAAACAAACTCTTGCATCATCATTTCGTGTTGGTTAAAAGAATTCATCAAGAAGATTTTGTCAAATAATACTCAATAAGAATTCAATATTGATTTAGAAGTTACTTCTGAAACAATTGAATAAGATAGAATCAAAAATTGACTTACAAGATTTTTTTGACGAGTTTAGAAAAAACAGCAATTTAATTGCTGTTCGTTAAGTCTTTCTCATGAGTCTATATAAAAATCGTCACTTTATTCCGCGAATGTTTCTTTCTTTTCTTATTATTTTATTTGTCAATGTATGCCAAAAACAAATCACATATAGTTTAAAAAACGAGACAATTTCCTATCAACACATCGAAAAATCATCATTCAACACATACTCATCAATGAGATCTAAAGGTCAACATTTTGAACTATTGTTTTGCATTCTATAAAAAATGAAGATATTTTCCCGATTATCATTCGTTTTGTTCATGTCATTTTGCTTATTATTGTATGATAAATATAAACATATCTAGAATCTAAGTGAAGAAAATTTCATATCTAATATTTAAAAAAATTACCTTTTCAGAACGTGCTCATTAATGTAATACAAGAATCGATATATGGTACCATTGTTATAGCGTCGTATTTTATGACTTACATTCAGAATTATTCTACACACATCATAACACATTAGATTTAAGATTTTTCTGTTTTATCAAAGACACAGACACCGACAATAATAACTACGAAACGGAAGGAAGTATTTCAAAAATTTTTGTATTTACAAAGAATATATCTTCATCATGTCCCATATTTTTATTTCGTAAGAAATGTACTCGCATTTTCCTTAATATGAAGCAAATTAGCTGCCAAATGAAATGATTGCCTTATTAAACTAGTGTGGGTCAGATTTTTACGCTATAGAATCTATTCCAATATAATTATCGTGCTTGACTAGATACATGATTGGAAAAAATAGTAAGCCAATTAATATTATTTCTGTTTCTGTTCTATCTTGTAACATAAATTAAACATACGTGTGTTGACATAGAAACTTTGAGTAATATTTATTTCATAAAAAAACCTCGCAAAGGTTCAGCAGCTCAACATTCTCTTAACATTTATTTTCCTTAACGATAAAAAAGACAAAGAATAGGAGATTATGCATCTACGACTTCTAAGAAATGTCGTATATGTGGTGCTGTAGCACGCGATCTAAATTTCAATGTCATTACTTGCATGACTTGTAAATCTTTTTTTCGCCAAAATGCACATAAAAAATCTGTCAGTTTCATCTATATCTCTAAAGAAAACAAACAAGTTTTTTCTCAACAAATTGAATAGCTCATATCATTTTGCCAGTTTCAAAAGGATTGCCACACAACAAAAATAACATGCAGTTACTATTCATCTTGTCGATTAAAGAAATGTTTAGCATTAGGAATGAATCTTGAATTAATTCAAAATATTTCTAATTCCAGCAATGTCGCCAAGGAAATTCAACAATTACAAACGATAGACGATAAACGAACTCGATTACCAATAGCAATATCATTTTTTGAATATTCTTGAATAATGACATGTTTGGTTTTTTTTCTATAGCCTTTACCACTTAGTCTTCTTCGCAATGATCGTTCAACATTGACAATTAATGAATAGACTCTTGTTTCGAACTTTCTTCATGCATTTTATGAGCAAGACCCTTCCACACCAATTCAGTATTCTCTTCATGAATTATCTTCATTACCACTCGAATTATGTTTGAAACTGTCTGGAACCGCGGATGTTCTTCGTGACCTTTTTAGTAGTATTGGATTAGTTATCGAACGTTTACCAGAATTTTATTCGTTACCGCTTGGTATTCGTCGAGTTTTCATTAAGCATAATGTGTTCATCACTGGTACGTGCAATATATGTTTTTTGTGTCGTGAATTAAATCTAATTCATAATATGACTGCTTTCAATGCTAGCAATCAGCTGTATGGATCTGAGTTTGTGATGGAGTACCGTCGAGATATTGTACGATATGATCCAAATAGAAATCTTAGAGTAGTGTCACAGATCCAGGAAATCTGGAATCTCAGAGATCTCCTCAGAGATGTTGCATATACTAACAACGTTAGAACATAATATTGAATTATCAGACAGTAATGATATTTTTTTTACCATCTCGAACTCCTAAAGGAGATGTCGCATCTCTACAAGAGATACCGTATCTCTCATCACATCTCTGTAAGGAGATGCATCTCCAGCATTCTCCCTAGGCTAAAATTTAAAAAAAAAATTTCATAAGGAGATGCTAATCCTAGAGATGCGGCATCTCCCTAAGGACATACATCGCTAGCATCATCCCTAGGCTAAAATTGAAAAAAAATTTTTTCATAAGCAGATGCATATCCTGGAGATGTGGCATCTCTTACAGAGATATAATTAGAAATACGGTATCTCTTGTAGAAATGCAG